CCGTTCAAGTACACGTTGGCCCTCGTATAGTCGGTCAATACGAGGGCCACAATACCTTAGGGTAGTCCGTACTGCCTCATCTTAACGCCTTACGTCCTTGGCGTCCTTGGGGTTCGGAAGTCAAATACGGCTTGACTTCTGTACGTCCCCATTTCAACCGTAACGGAGCGGTTGAATTTAGCCGTAACGAGACGGTTGAGGGCCCCCTCCTTAAGCGTGAACGTCCGCGTTCGCGTCCGAGGTGAGGCTCCTGCCAGTACGCCTCCGGCGGCGTTGAGCGTAACGAGACACCAACTCCTCCGGGACGTGAGTCCGCGCGGTCCAGGTGGGCGTGTCGTAATCCGCCCACTTGATGAGGAACTCCGTAGTCCCGTCCTCCATGGCTCGATGCCGAAGTAACCGTTCGACGGCATACTGCGTGCAGTCGGTGACCTTGTCGGCAAGGTCACCCGGGGTTGTCGCACCCGTCCGTGGCGCGTCTATCGGCGGAGAGGCGTGCACACAGCGGTCTGCGGAGACGCGCTCGGTCACCATCACGATCGATCGTGATGGTTCGCTTGTCGTTAGCGAGGACTCGCTATGGCCCAACGGCGGGCGATGATAGTTTGTTAGACGTCTTTTCCCCATCGGTGGGGTTCAGGTAGACATAATTACCTGACTTGAGACGCGTACAGTGCCTTCCGTCGGCGGCGGGCACTTGGCCGGGGGTCGTCCGTACCGATCTTTGCCTTCTCGACGGGTGTCCTCTCTGCGGAACTAGGTCGGCTAGCTTCTGCCTCCCCGACTAAATCGGTCAAGTCGGTGAGGTGTAGCGCATGTGCGATCACCTCGGCGACACGGCGTTCGGTAGGATCTTCGGCGCGTGTTGCATCGACACACGCCTGACGCTCTATCTTGTGCACGGGGCTTACGGAAGCCCCGGTGCCTTCACGGTCGGTCAGTGGCATCTGACCTACGGAGATCAGGGTGTCTTCTCTTTCGGAAAAACGGGCCGGGCTTACGGAAGCCTGGGCGCCTTCGCGTTCTTCGCGGATGGTGGTCGCCACCGGACCCACGGGGTTCTCGGTGGCTTCTTTTGGGGCACACGAGGCGGAGCGCCGCTTCCATCTCGATGCAAGATGTCGAGGTCCGCGACCCGGTGGTCCGTACCACCGGGCGCCCTTGGAGTGTGGGCGTATGCGGTAGCGAAGCGTCCGGTCCACCTTGATGACGCTGGAGTGGGAGGTCGGCCTCCCACGGGCTTGTAGCCTCGCGTAATGAGGACAGGGTCGGCCTGCCACTTATCTTCTCCTATGTGGAGGGATGCCGCAGGCGAACTTGTGGCATGCGACCTCGTAGTTCGATTCCCCCTCGCTGCCGGTTTCGGATCCGGCAGCGGCAAACCGCGCTGAGCGCGGCACGTTGTGCCTCCCGCCGTCGCGATACGGCGGTTCATTGGAAGGTCTGTATTCTGTTGTTCGAGCAATCGCTGGACCGTCTCAGCCACTGCGGCCCGGGTCGCAGGAGCTAGTCCGCTTACAAATTCGTGTAGCGTGCGGACGTCTACCGGACCGGTGTGCGCGGTGAGATCCACCGGCTGATAGCTGCCGCAGCGGGGATCGAAAGAGAGAATCGGTTCACTTGATCCGCGGGCGGTATCTCCGCGTCTTTTGTCGTCCACGAACGGTACGCGTGTCATCTGCCGCATGTCTCCGGCGACATGCGGCAGGGCTTGGGTCTCGGACCGAAATTCGCGTCCGTCTTGGGGCTTCGCTGCCCAGTGGTCCGACTGGGGTTGGCACCAGTCGGGCTCTCTTCATGCGCGTCGGGCTCGTTCGGAGGTACAGTGGCACCGGGCCCTCTCGGGGGGGCTCCGGGCGACCTTTCGGCCGATGCCTGTTCCATCTTACCAACGCGCCTAACGGGGTGACGGGTAGTGTACGTACGTCTACCGGACCGGGGTGCGCGGTATAATCCACCGGCGGGTAGCCGCCCCAGCGAGGATCGACGGAGAACATGGGTTCTCCGGATCCGCGAGCGGCTCCTCCACGGTCCTGGTCGTGCCCATACGGTACCTGTCGCAACTGCCGCATGCTTCCGCGGCATGCGGCAGAGCTTTAGTCTCGGACGCGAAATTCGCGTCGGCCGTTGGTTTGATATCCTCCGCGCAAGGACTGGTGACGGCACCAGTCGGAGGCCACTCCTGCGCATCGGACGCGCCCGGAGGAACAGTGGCACCGGGCCCTCTCGAGGGGGCTCTGGGCGACCTTACGGCCAAGTTCTGTTCTAACTCACGAGCGCCCCGGAGCGTCGAGTTGACTTCCGCAGCCGTATGCGCGAACGCTCCCATCTGTTCGGCAGATGGGAAGGCTGCGGGTTTCGTCGTACCCCGGAGTTCGTACTCGCGGGTCGATCTGCAACGTCCGCCGTAGGGGAATCGATGCGTGCGTCGTCAACCAACACTAGACGGAGTGCAAGTGGTCGCCGAGTGCGCGCAGATTCTCCAAGGACTGAATCACGTGCTCAAACCTGCCTTCAAGGAGGGAGCGCAACTCGCCTCTACTGCGGGCGTAGACGTGATGGGTCACGTCGATACAAAGGAATGTCCGGACATCCTACATATACCCCGCGATGCGTTCGTACATCGCGCGAGCGCGTCCTTCTGAGTAGTCCAGCGACGGTTCGCGGTCTCGAGGACCTGCGGCGCCGTCGCCAGGTAGAAAGCGTAGCGCGGACGCCCGCACATCGGCCGGTGCGGAGTGGACCGAGGGTTCGGACTCTTTGATTATCTCGATGAGTACGGACGCGGAGGAAAGCGGCAACCATCTCAGAATGATCTTCGGAGTCTTCTAGGTCGGGAGACCACTGTAGTATAAACACTCCCAACAGTGGGGGGTGTATACCCAGTTCTTGCGGAGACCCCGATCGGCGGGAAGACGGGAAGCAACCCCAGCTAACGGAACCGGGCGAGCCCGGGGTAGCAGTGGTAGAGCGGGTACGGTCGGGGATGCGCGCACGCGCGAGCCGATCTACGCCTCGACGCCCCGGCGCAGCGCTGGGTGATGTACCACCACTGACGGGCGGAGGCGGATCTAGGCTCGCTCGCGTGCTTGCGCGTCCCCTGCCCGCTCGGTTCCTAACTAGATACGGGCTAGTGGGAACCCGTTCTAGAATAAGCGGGGCGAGGTTGACCAAAGGCGTAGGTTCTGGACAAGCTCGTGCTTGTCCTTCCCCTCCGCCGTCGGTCTGCCCTAGTATTTAATATACAAGTAAGTCCTATCATACCACAGTACAGTACGTACTGTACTGTAGTGCTACTGTAGTCAGTGCGGGCAGTCCCATACTGTAACGCTGTCAGCCATCGAGGCTGATAGTACACGTGTGTTACACGTATGTGCGCGTGCTGTCGTACTGTAGAGCTCGGGCTCTACAGTAGCTGATCTAATCTAAATCCAGTTAGGGATTATACTACAGTTCTGTGAGTTAAGGGTGACCCCACCGCGCCTTGCCCAAAATCGCAAAAAGCAGACAGTTGTCCTCCGGTAATTGGATCTACTATCTTTTAATCAAGCCGCGCTTTGGGGGAGGTGGTGATTCAGAGATGAACCCCACTGCGCCTGTAACACGATACATCTATTCATATTCAGGGTCACCCCAATTAGGCTACAAGTATGTCGTAGAAATACATTTGGCGCAAAGAAGCAAGCTACTGCACGCGTCTGTTCCACAATTGGCGGCAACTTTTGCTCGTCACTTGCCCGCTCTCCATAATATGTAGGCTCCTGTTTGGGAATTATCAACTCGGCAAGTACACCACGCTTTCAATTCGCGGCGTTCTCAGACACTGCGCTCTCAGCAACGCACAGGGCAAGATTCTCCTCGTCTGACCACCCCAGTCCCTTACCCTTTTTCCTCACTCTTACTGCCGAGTCATCAGTCCTAGTAACCACCTCAGCCATTGCCTGCACTTCTCAGAAGACGAGAAGGAGGGAGAAGATGGGAAATGTCCACGAGCGAAGGCTGCACAACACTCCTTTTTGCGTCCCACACTATTGATGGGACTTCAGTCAAAACAGCCCCAAAGCCATTTGGAAGAGCTTTGGTAGAGCTGTAAGCACATGAAATTCAGATGTTTTCTGTACCGTTACTATAGAACGAAGCTCGCCCAAACGGCGCTTTGGACAAAAATCTCGACCAAATAATTTTGGTTTGGAAAAGAATCCTTCCCAAATTCTAAACTTTAGGACAAATGGTGGCGCGGTGGGGTTCAAAATTTCTTCCATCGGTCCGAACTTTAGTCCAGCGGTCCAAACTTTAGTGGTTGGAATTTTAGGACAGAAATTTTGTTGGCGGTGGGGTCACCCTAACGTGAGAAAAAAGGGGGAAATTGGCCAATATAGTGTGTCCCGGACGTACTAAATTGGAAAGAGCTCCAATATAGTAGCTTTTGCTCCAATATGGGACATTTCGGAATTTCGCAAATTGAAACGCGAATTACTACAGTATCTAGGTCTCTGACGAGGGAAGATTTTTGGCCTAAAATCTCGAGCTCCCGTAAGACACATGTGAGAGGGCAAATCAAAAGCTTGCGCTCCGCAGATCTCGTCCACTCAAGCCAGATATCCCATCCGAAATCTTTCTTGCGCAGATGCACCTGTGTCACACTCTTGCTCTCAAAATTGCCCATTTTGCATTGCACCACGGCTCGCGGCTCTAAGACCGGAAGATTCCCGTGTTTCTGGCACAGCCTCGCAGTCTCCACCATCCCTGACATCGTTACCTTTGCTCCTCTTCTCGCAGAGGTCTTCATAATCCTTCCGCATTGCAACCATTGCCCTCGACCCTTTGCGCCCTCGAGCTTCGCCATGACTGATGCACCTGCTTTCACCGCATCGGCGCCTGTGCGTCGCACGACCCCGTCGTCATTGTTTCGTAGCTCGGCATTTGTCTCCTCATGTCGACGATTAGCTCCGCGCCGTCAGCAAGTGGCGCGTATCCGTATGAGCGAGATCCCTCCTCCAATGAGTGGCTCCTCACTTCCGGAAGGGCTCAACCCCGAGTACTGGGGTCCCCTCTACGCGAATTCCACTAAACCCCTTGTTCGTCGCACGGATATCAAGACTATATTGCTCATTGGTGCCGGCGCTATCGTGATCGGCCAGGGCGCAGAGTTTGACTACTCCGGCACACAGGCGTGCAAGGCACTTCGCGCGGAGGGGTATAAGGTCGTTTTGGTCAACTCTAATCCCGCTACTATTATGACAGACCCAGAAACTGCTGATAGGGTCTATATCGAACCACTAACGACAGAGGTTTTAGAGAAGATCATCATAATTGAGAAACCGGATGCGCTTCTGCCGACTATGGGCGGGCAGACTGGTCTCAATCTTGCAACCGCCTTGGCGGAACAGGGCATTCTGGAGAAGTATGGCGTTGAGCTTATCGGCGCTAAGATGGATGCTATTCAGAAAGGAGAGGACCGCTTACTATTCAGAAATGCCATGGAGAAGATTGGTGTCAAGTGTTGTAAGTCTGGTATTGTCGAAAACATGGAGATGGCAGAGGCTGTCGCGCAAGAAATTGGCTCTTTTCCTCTTATCATCCGTCCTGCATTTACACTCGGCGGAACGGGAGGCGGTATTGCGTACAATCGCCCTGAGTACCTGCGAATGGCTCAGATTGGTATTGACGCTTCTCCGGTTAATCAAATTTTGGTCGAGCAGTCTTTGCTTGGTTGGAAGGAATACGAACTCGAGGTCATGCGCGATGGCGCTGATAACGTAGTCATCGTGTGCAGTATCGAGAACGTCGACCCCATGGGCGTGCACACTGGAGACAGTATTACCGTTGCCCCCACGCAGACTCTTACAGACAGAGAATATCAGAACCTCCGCGATATGTCCCTTGCGATCATTCGAGAGATCGGTGTAGAGACTGGTGGCTCTAACATACAATTTTCTGTCAACCCAGCGAATGGTGATATCATTGTCATCGAAATGAACCCCCGTGTTTCTCGGTCTTCCGCCCTTGCATCCAAAGCAACCGGGTTTCCTATTGCAAAGTTGGCTGCTAAGCTCTCCGTCGGCAATTCTCTTGTAGAGGTGAAGAATGACATTACACAAAAGACCCCAGCATGTTTTGAACCAGCGCTTGATTACGTCGTCACAAAAGTACCGCGTTTCGCCTTTGAAAAGTTTAGCGGTGCAGTCGATACGCTCTCCACTCAAATGAGGGCTGTGGGAGAGACAATGGCTATTGGGAGAACATTCGTTGAATCGTTTCAAAAGGCGCTCCGCAGTCTGGAGACAGGACGCTCAGGATGGGGCATGGACGGAAAGGATAAGGCTGTCAGCAGCAAAACTGCGTTGGAAAGCATTCTACGCGTCCCAACACCTGATCGCATTTTCTTTGTGAGGAATGCATATGAGATGGGCATGTCCATTGAAGACGTTTTTGAACTATCAAAGTATGATCCGTGGTTTCTGGGGAAGATGTTGGAAATTTTTGAGATGGGAGAGAGCATGAAGAAGCATGAATCTGTGACGGCAATAGAGACGCAGGATATGTACAAGTACAAATCGACTGGTTTCAGTGATAAGCAGATGGCTTTCGCTCTCAATACTACTGAAGATGAAGTTCGTAGCCATCGCAAGCAACTGGGTGTGGTCCCGGTGTATAAAACTGTTGATACATGCGCAGCGGAGTTTGAGGCGTATACCCCGTATATGTACAGCTCGTACGACTCGATGCGTTCTTGGGGACCAACAGTTTCCCTAGATTCTGAAACGCCACCGCCGACAGGCAAAAAGAAGGTTGTCATTTTGGGGCAGGGGCCGAATCGCATCGGACAAGGCATTGAGTTTGATTACTGCTGCGTCCATGCTTGTTTTGCGCTTCGAGATGCCGGCTTCGAGACAGTCATGATCAACTCAAATCCAGAGACGGTATCAACGGATTATGACACAGCAGATCGCTTGTACTTTGAACCGCTGACTCTGGAAGACGTTATCGGCGTTTTGGAAGCGGAAAAGCCAGACGGCATCGTGGTTCAGTTTGGTGGCCAAACACCTCTAAAGCTTGCTGTTGCTCTCGAAGAATACTTGGCTTCAGAGGAGGCTCAAAAAGCTGGACTGAAATGTAGCATTCTTGGTACCCCTCCGGACTCGATAGATGCCGCTGAAGATAGAGATAGATTCATGGCCATTCTGCAAGAGCTTGGAATTCGCCAACCCGCAAATGGCATTGCCAGGTCCTATGGGGAGGCTGCTGCCATTGCAGCAGAGATTGACTACCCAGTTGTCGTAAGACCAAGCTATGTGTTAGGTGGCCGAGGTATGGAAATCGTTTACAATGAGTCTGAGTTACATCGATACATGTCTGCAGATGTCGTGGTTGAATCTGAGCATCCCGTTCTCATCGATCGTTTCTTGGACAACGCAATTGAGGTAGATGTCGATGCAGTTGCTGATATGCATGGAAATGTAGTTATTGGAGGAATAATGGAGCATATTGAAGCAGCGGGTATTCATTCTGGGGATTCAGCATGCTCTCTTCCAACCATCTCGATACCTTACAACGCTATGGTCACTATTCGTTCTTGGACAATAGCTCTAGCCAAGCGACTGGGGGTTATCGGACTTATGAATGTTCAGTGGGCAGTGCAAGGGGAAAGCGTGTTTATTCTAGAGGCAAACCCGCGAGCATCCAGGACAGTTCCATTTGTCTCGAAGGCAATAGGACAGCCGCTGGCTAAAATTGCCTCGCTTGCGATGATGGGAAGCACCTTGAAGTCACTTGGAATGGAAAAGGAAATTATTCCCCGGTATACTTGTGTGAAGGAGGCTGTACTGCCATTCAAAAAGTTTCCGGGTGCGGACATTCTGCTTTCACCTGAAATGAGGTCAACTGGAGAAGTGATGGGAATTGATGACTCATTTGCCATGGCGTATGCCAAAGCTGAGCTGGCATCTGGGCTCGTTATTCCGACGTCGGGAAGAGTGTTTATGAGCCTGGGGGATCAGGACAAGGAGTCTGCTATTCCGCTTGCTTTTGACATGGTCGATCTTGGGTTCAAGATCTATGCCACTCGTGGTACGTACGTCCAACTGATTGCTGGAGGTTTGAACCCGACAGACGTGGAAATGGTTCTCAAGGTGCATGAAGGCCGACCTCACGTGTTGGATAGAATTAAGAATGGGGAAGTGAATCTCTTCATAAGTTCACCAAGTCGAAAACCCGAGGATTTGGAGAGCACAAGAATCGTGAGACGGTCTGCCCTTTCCTCCAATATCCCGTACGTGACGACGGTTGCTGCCGCGCGGGCGCTTGCCCAAGCTATTCGCGTTTTGCAAACTCAAGAAATTACTGTGAAAGCGATGCAAGATTATCATAAAACTGCACCGCCCGTAGTACTACTAGCGGCTGCGGATATCGCAAGCACCTTGTGAATGGAATTGGCAGCCCGTACTGGGGTGAGGACGTCGGATTGTGGAAGGAAAGCACACAAAGCGATCCAGTGATCAAGGATTCAATAAACAAGGGAAGTTGCGCCCTATTCCGCTCGGAATGTTTGGCGTGGGTCGCTGACTGCTCTGGCCTGTGTCTTTACAATATTGTTACTTGTGCAGGGGTGCAGCATCCGGGGCTCTGACACTCAGCAGTAGTCAAAATCCGGGCGCCGAGTTGGCCGAACAATATTCAAGTTGAAAATTAAGTTGAAGCATGCTCTCGGTGCTATATACAAATAGGTGTGGTTTCCTATGATCAGTTCTGAGAGTTGTCCTTACGGCGGCAACTCTCGTTTTTTTTTAGATTTTCCTAAAGAGCTCCCGGCTGTGATCACAGTCCCAGAGTTGATTCGCATGATTCCTCCGCCACGACAGATTGGTCTAGTCAGGCGTTGAATTAGAGCCACGCAGCATTTTCTTAGAGTCATCAACAAACGCGTTTGACACAAAGAGTTACCGTTGTTACCACAGAATATAAGGGCCTGGTACAAAGGAGCACCCGTTACGACGGATTTGTCGACCTACGAGGTCTAATTCCGTAGACATATGGACCACGCACACCGCCATGGTTGTGCCTGTCCCACTCTCCTGTGACGTCCAGATTCAATACTTTTGAGAAGAAGGACTTGATCCCATAGATTTTCAATTTATCCGATTTGCATTGTTTGTGGTAATCGTCCTTCAGGTTGCAAAGCCGGATGTAGTCCTTCGAAGTCTTCCGGTCTGTGCTCGCAGTAAGCTCGTATGTGGATGACAGGTATTTAGCGAAACCGTGAAATTGATGATCTTCTTTCCCCAAAACAGATGCCAACATTTCCTGTCGCGCTTTCAAAGTTGTGCCTTGAGGCTGAGTGTCTTCCTTCGGGCCCTTCTCCTGTGCAGTAGAAGATCTTCCCTCAGACCCTTGCCCTCTCCCGTTTGAAGAGCTCTTAACTTCATTTCGGTTCTTCGCAATTCCGTTCGAGGCGGACCCCTTTCGTTTTAGTGCAGCCTTGGATCTTGCATTATTCCTCCCTCTCGGACGTCCTTGACCCAGTCTGGTATTTGCGTTAGTCACCTTGGAATTCAAAGGCTTTGTCGTGTCCACAGATCGGCTTGCGACCCCAAACCCGGGCTTGAGCCCGGGAGTATTGCGCGCCACGTCGGTCAACTGCTCTGATTTAGGCAGGGTACGGGTATTTGCGTTTGACGACGCAACCTGTGCCGCTTCTCTTTCCCTCCCAGCGACTGCAGCCGCTGCTGTTGCATTGGGCGCGTTTGCAACTGAGGGCATATCGAGGTGCCGACTTTGGGGCGGAATGGAGGGGGAGGGCCGGTGGGGAACGTGTCCATTTCCCTGTGCCGGGGAAATTTCTGGTGTTGTATGCGGAAAGTACATCTGAGGAGAATATCTGTATGGACTCTGGCGCCCATCTTGCATTTGAGGCAGTGACGATGCGTAGTGGTTGTTGCCGGCTTGGTGGGCTCCTCCGAGGACGTTTTGTTCAAACATATTCCCTGGATACATTCCGTATGGCATTGCCATCATTCCAGGTGCAGGTAGTTTAGACATGTCTGTCGTTGCAGACGACAAAATACCGTCATTTCGTTCACCGCCGTTCGCAGCAGGCGCATTCAGGATCGGCATAACTGGCGGAAACCCGTAGAATTGACCGAAACCCAAAGGATGAGCATAAACCGAGCTCCCGCGGTCTCCACCAGTAAACATGGCATTTGCGCTCAAGTCCTGACTACCCGTCGCGGGTCCCATCATGACTGGCGCACCAGGCATGGGAACACCGGCGAGAGATGTGGATGGTAAAGATCCGTTGCTGCAACCCTGCTGACCGTATATTGCATCCGCCATAGCATGCACATGCGGCTGTTGTCTTTGTGGCAGGGCGGAATTTGGGTAATGTATGTGTTGGTGTGGTGAAGTGTGCTGAGATGTGCGTTGCTGCTGTGCCGCTCGTTGGTGCTGTTGCGTTTCCTGCCGCTGTTGTTGTTGATGAACGTGCATGTGATTTTGTAGCTGAAATTTGTGTAGCTGCTGCAACTGCTGAAATTGCTGTAGTTGATATTGAGGTTGGTGAGGGAAGGGAACACTGGGGTTGAGGGCTTGCGCGGCAGAACCGCGGCATGTGTTTGGAGCTCCCACCTGCACCGTGTCAGGGGGTCGCGTCCTTGCGCGGGCTGAATCTGTTCGAACTCTGGACCCATCGGCTTCCATTGGAGCTTGGCGATCGGAAACGTTCTCACTCTCAGGGAAAGCACACACCTCCGAGTCATGATACTTTAGTGGTTCACCAAGATGACCAACCGGAAGGTTATCACTGCCTGGCCCAACCATCATGCCTTCAGTTTCACAGTTTTTCTCTTGTGGATAAATCGGATCACCCAAAGCTTGATCATCTGCTGTTACGGCTTCCAATGGTATCACTAGCACTTCCGGCGGAGGACCGTGATTGTGAGCGGTAAGTAGCGCGTTCTCAATCGATTCCTGTTGATCGTCCATGGGAACAGCGAGTGCACCCTCTGTCAAACTGGCAGTATCTCTGGCGATCAGCGGGTCGCTTCCGGATGAAGAGTTAGATAGATATGTAGGCTCCTGGTCACTTTGAAGGAGAGCCCACAGGCACGGAAGCAAAGTCCTTTTCGTTCCTGTAACTGCAGACTCCTCAACAGGAAATACTTCAGAGTGATCTTCTCGCCATCCCATCACCAGATCTTCCTCATCCTCTACCTCAAGTTTCCTTGAAACGCCAGAGGCGGAGAAAATCTGCCTCATTAGCCGCATGGCTTCGAACGCTCTCACTCGCGCTTCTTTCAACATCACGATTCTGTTCGGATATGTGGTACCCAGTTCTACCCCTGCTGCATGCAGCACATCAGGGGGTGCCTTCCATGGTTCATGCACAAAGTTTGTTGGTAGATTCGCCAGTTCGGGAAGCCACTGCCTTACATAGCTACCATGAGGGTCATGCTGACTGGCCGATTTGACAGGGTTTAACAAGTTTCTTAAAGTGGCTGCATATGTATTGCTACCCGCGGTCCACTGCCATCCCAACGCATTCGAAGAATGGTCCCCATCCAAAAGCAGTCCGTAAAACTCTTTCAATCCTCGGGACCACGGAAGTAGTAAGTACTTTGTTAGAAAACATGCCAATAAGAAACGCATTCGGTTGTGAATCCACCCGGTAGCCCGCAACTCTCGCATTGCAGCATCGATTATCGGATACCCCGTCTTCGCTGTCTGCCAGGCCGTGAAAGAGCCCTTGTCTTCGGCCCAAGGGAAATTCACATACTCTGGAATAAGAGGTTTGGCGTGGAAATCGGGATTGTGAAATAGAATGTGGTACGAGAAGTCTCTGAGACATAGATTTCTCAAGAATGCCCGAGCTGATTGAGAGATTGGAGGAAGGGCTGGCCTCTGCACGGCCGCTGCTGATCGCATCATGTGGCGAAAGTTAGTCTTTGGCGGTTTTTCTGGGGGCGTGGGCTGAGGTCTTCCTCTCCCCCCTTTGTCGCCGACGCTTTCTTCTTGCTTGGCATGCGTGCCACTCGTGAGGGGGGAACTGCGAGTATCACCTTGTGGTTCCCGCTCGCGATTCACTTCTCTGCCGCTCTCTAGACTCTCAAGTAAGCTCGCTCTCTTCCACTCTTGCTTCGTGCCACCGTTCGACATCGCCAATGACCACTTTCTAGATGCAGCTAAAGAAAGCATGCTCCCCTGATCCCATCGCGAGACGCGCATTCTCGTTGAATGATACATGCGCCTCGGACTGAGTTCCCCAAAGCGAATATGAGGACTAAGTCTGCTCGTTCCGTCGAAGTGACGTCGGCACCTATTATCGCCGAAAGCCGGAAACACTTCGATGAGAAATTTTTCCAATTGAGCGTTCGCCTGTACGCTTCCTGGTGTCCACGTCTTTTGCAGTACCTCTTCGAGAGTGTGAGGGATGTCAAAGGCCAGTGCAGATATTCCAACGCTCTTCACCTCACTGGTTATGGCGGTCAACCGAGAGGGACATGGAAACGGTTCTGGGGGTGGGGCAAAGGTCATCCACGCTCGCATGTAGGAGCGAAACGTTTCGTATCGAGGGTTTACCTCGGTGTTTTTCAGTTCCCATGGCTCAACTAATAGCTCCGCTTTGAAGCTCTCTGCTGTTAAACCCTCACTGAGAAGCTCATCCCTAAGTTCCTCATCTCGCGTTAGTAAGTCCGGTTCGTAGCAACGATTCCAAAACACAGCATCTGCGCCTGTATCACACAAAAAGTTGCGCAGTTCTTCTGTGGATTTTCCCGTTCGCGTATAAAGCTGGACACCGAGGCGCTTCAAATCGCGTTGCAAGCAGCTAAGAGACTCTCGTAACCACCATTGCTTCACATGACCCAGATCTGAGCCAAAGCTGTCAGACGGGTCCCATATAAAGAGAGGGACTACCGGGCCGCCTCTTTGGGAAGCGGCTAGTAACGCGGGATGGTCCTCAACGCGGAGGTCGTTACCTCTATACCAGACAACTGACGGTTTGCGGAACCATTTCGCACCTTGCGGAGCGGTGGCTTGAGAGGGAGGTTGGCGAAGTTCCGGGGATGGCGACGCAGGCGGTGAAACCGAATCAGCATCTTCCGTAGAAGAGGCGGTCCGTCTGCGCTTTGCAGGGGGAGACGCGGCACGACGGCGGATGCGACGCGAGGCATTCGTAATGGGTGCTTGCGTAAGAGCTGACGGGGACGGAGAGGGGTTATGCATACGGGCGGCGTTTGCTTGAGACATGGAGCTTTGAGGTCAAGAGCAGCCGGTCGTAGGCGAGGACGGAAGGAAAAAAAATGACAGCGGCTATTTTCCAAGAAATCGAGACGACATCGGAAATTACATGAGCCGTGTGGAGAGGAGCGTGTGGTCGAGTTTGAAAAGCAGGGGGATATACTTGAGCGGAGACGAGCCACTAAGTAGTTGTCCACGACGGGGGGATGACGAGGGTATGGGAATGAGAAAGCGGAGAGAACACGTAAAGGCAAGAAAGCAAAGCGATGGCAAAGCGATGCTTGTTACCAGGGGCGGAGGTGGTGCGTATGTACACGAAGTAGCTGCAGAACAGTTTCATTCCGCGAGTGATTGTGTTCGCTCTCTCAAGATTTGGAAGGCCGAATTTCTCCAGAAAATTCTGAAGAAATGCATCAAAAATGCATGCATCTCGGGAAGCAGCGAGCGCCCGGGCCCATGAAAAGAGGAAAAATGAGGACAAATTTGGCAGACTGCACTTAAAGATTAAAAAAAAATGCTATGAGCTCTTCTAGTGCTTTGTTTGCCCAATTCCTTTCAAGATAGCCTACAGTAGCCGTAAAAGATCCGCAAAGGATACTGTAGCACTACAGCACCGTATTGGACCGGAGTTTGTATGAGGGCCATTCCATTCATCGTGATTGGCAATCATGCAATCACGCAATCACGCGATCACGCGATCACGACATTAATTTAACGTCGTTCTGCATCGTTCCTTTCTCCAACGTGTGCTACTTGTAGCTGTAAGCACATTTCCACGGCTTTGCATGTGCATGTGTTAACGCACTTCTTGCTTCATTCCATTTCACGTTTGGCACTCTGGAAAAACGAAGGGCAAAGGTTTCAAAGGAGGTAATGATGGCACGGCAAAGAGAGTAGATCCTGCTTTCTGGCTTTCCCACATGTGCAACCCTGGGTTGCACAAGCAGCGCGTTGATTATCATTTCGAAATCTACGAATATTTGAATGGGGAAATCTTTTAGAATTGCAAGGAGCATTACAGAAAGTTGGAGTACAAGATTAATTTTAAGTCGATTGTTTATTTCTTTAATGAGCATGACCATTCTTTAAGAAACGTAATATAAACAACCAACCACAAGGGAGCAGGCACCATTTATTGACGTGATTGCGTGATTGCGTGATGCCAATCACGATGAATGGAATGGCCCTGGGCGAGGTTGCGAGCGGAGACACGACAAGCGTTCCAAGAGATGCTCGGGCAGTTTTGACTAGTACATATGCCCCCGTTAACATGAAGACCAGGAAAGCACCTGACACAGCCTTTCAAAAAGCCCGGAGCTTCTGAAAAGACTACTGAAGTCATATTCCTACAAGTAGCCTCTTGCTTCCTGAGAGGCGGCAACTTCGTCTTCTCACTACGCCACAAAGACGCTGGGTGTCGTGCGAACGAACGGTTACGAAGTAGCAACAGCAACAAAAAGGAGGCTTTCGGGAGGGCAAACAAGAAGCCATTAGCGTCTCAGCTTCTAGGGTTCGTGGTAGTTTCGCAACATGAGAAATAAAATCTCGAGCACTGCCATACAAAGATCGCAGGCATGGGGTGACGGCTTAAAATATCTCCGTCAACGAAGGAGCTTTCTCCGCCTCTCACTGACCGTCTACAGTATTAACATTACATTAACATACGAATTTGTACTGTAGAATGTTAATGGGACGGACCTGACCACTACCGCAGCGATTTGAGCCCCTTAATCAGAGGGGAACTTTTGATAATTATCCAAAGCACTCGGTCTCCCTTAGTTTTTCAGTTCTTTTCATCGAGCTTCAGTCCAAGCTCATACACGCATATGCGGATTTATATCTGGGCAGTATCGCAACTTGCGTGCCATCTCCCATTCGGAGTGAGCTTCTCACCCTGAAAAACCAGCCTGTTAAGACACGCCATATGAGAGCTTTTGTGTCATGCGTGCTGTACAGTTACAATAGAGAATCTGTAAAGTGCTCCTCAATGGGCGCCTCCTGAAACCCAAAATACACAAATTGTGTGTACACAAATCACCATTTTTGTGTACATTCACTGTAATTTATGTACTGTATGCACAAATGACAAAACTGGTATAGGCTCGACCATGGACGAGGCAAATGTGCAACATACACAAACCGCATTGTTAGAGCATCTCCACCGCATGGGCAAATTGTTTCTATATTTGGACACTTGTCAGGCTCCCACATGGGCATTCGTTTTGCGCATTCCGTTTGCGAAAGTACCACAAATCGCCGTTGCGCAAATCGCGTCGCGGTCTCCACCGCGCACTGCGTCGCACCCGCCCCCGATCCGCGCCCAGACTTCCCGCGCCCCGACTTCTAGGCCGCCCCCCACCCCGACCAGCAGGACACAAAGCCGAGGTCCAGTTCGTCGACGCTGACCTCTTCCACCCAGACTTGTCCTCGCCGCCCGAAGCGTACCCGGCCGCGTCGCCACCCAGGCCTTTGCCAGATGGTCGAGTTCAGTTAGCCCCCATCCACGCCCGCGGACTCCCATAATAAATGAGTGTTAACGCGTGCACAATGTCTGCGTGCGGGTGGATGCGGGCATGTGCAGTGCGAGCATAGACCGTCCACTGCGCATTTGGCATGCTCAGACGTTTTGGGCGGGTCAGGTGTACCCGTGGCTTCCCGCGTTCTTGCTGTTTCGGTGTCTAAAAGTAACAAAAAATCAGCCCGTTCAAGCAGAGGAGTGTTGCCAAAAAATGGGATTTGTGACGTGACGCACCACAAAATCAAAAAATATGTGTGCCGTCAAGACACAAATCCTATTTATCATACGATTTGTGGAACAGATTTGTGTGCAGATTTGCGCGGTGGAGACCAAACTCAAGCCTGAGTCGCCATATTTTAGAAATGGCCACAATTTGTCTGCGCGGTGGAGATGCTCTTAGCGGGAGTGAGAGCGACAAAGCGGTGTAGCATCCTCCGCCAACAAGCGCATCTCTGTCTTTCGCGTTCCCGCCTCCAACATCCTCTATCCTCCAGCTCCCATCCTCCAGCTCCCATTCTCCAGCTCCCATTCTCCAACTCCCGTTCTCCAGCTCCCGCCAGCATGCCCACGGGCGCGGGAGCGTCATGTCCGGCACGTGCGGCGTGAAGCGCCACGCGTCATCGGCGATTGGCGGCAGCGGCAGGATGCACGGCACGACGTCGACAGACTTGAGCCAGTACGCCGCGCGCGACGCGCGGTCGTACTCTACGGCCATCGTGTGCAGCGGCGGTTTGGCCAGCAGCAGCTCCGGCGGCACGTGCACGTCCAGCACGCACACACAGTCGCCGCTGGGCACGGCACACGCGAGCAGTGTCGAGCCATTGGCGACGACGCGCGCGCGCGTGTCGGGCGCGTCGAGCAGGGGTGGGGCCGACGGCGGGAAGGCGGGTGGATCGTGCGGCGCGGTCTTGGAAACGTGGACGAGGCGCAGAGGCATGCGCTCCATGGGGAATGGACCCGCGGCCTCGAGGAAGAAGTGCATGGTGACGACGGGGACGGTGACGGAGACGGCGACGTCCTTGTGGCGGCCCAAGACGTAGGCGGCGACGGAGTCCTCGGCAACGTCGCGCTCGACGCCGCCGCGGGCGTGGACCTCGGTGAAGCCCTTGCGGAAGTGCACAGGGACGCCCGGGACGAAGGCGCCGGTGGCGAGCCACCAGCGGGACACGAGGGAGGCGGCGAGCGAAGAGAGGGTGGCGGCGGAAAGCGCGTGCTGGGCTGGGGCGATGCCGAGATGACGGCGCGCGAGCGAGGCCACATGTCAGGGGGTGGTGCACAACTGGGAGAAGAGGGTGGTTTGGGCGGGGGGTCATGCGGTCGAGAATGTGAAGGAGGACATCGTGCGGAAGGTGAGGGAGCGCCTGCTACTACTTCCTTGGCGGAGAAGCAACAGCAGCAGCGCAGATGAGGGCGGCATGCCTGCTCAGGGATATCCCGGTCGGTTTCGCGTCTCGTCCGCAGAGCCCTTCGATGCCATTGAGTAGGAGCAAAATTACTGCTCGTCAGTCAGGGAATTTGTGCACACGAGTTTCAGGCGTGAAATGGGAGCACATTTCTAGATTTTGAGAAATGTGTCAAAAAAATGAAAAAATAGTTTCAGGAAGCGCCCAATGGGCGCTTCCTGAAACTATTTTTGAGCAGTACACAATATTACAGTAGCCACAGCACAATACTGTTGCGGCAATTCTGCCGCGGGGCACCGAGCGACCCGTAATGACGGGAATCCACCCGTATTCTCTTACTCCTCACAAGTCTGCTGCTTCCCCCTTCCTATCTTCGGGGATGGCTTCTTAAGTACACGTTCCCCGGGATGAGTCGGCTATCCCCAACCCTCCCTCCCGTAATTTCCCCTTCGATCCAGCTTCCCCTTGCCCCACCGGTAGCCACCTCCTCGTGCCATTTTCCCTTCGCGCCCTCGGCCGGCGACCTGCGCGGTCTTTCTGCCCCAGCCCGAGCCCCGTGCGGCCTATGGTTTCCCTTCGTCTCCCCGGTGGCTGGCACCCCCAATTCCCCGCGCGTGCTGTCTCGCTCCCTCCTTCCCGCCTTTCGCTTGCCCGTCCTTCGGCGGTATACGGATGCGCTCCGCCCCGTGGTACGCGTGTCCAGCTCGCCACCTGGCAATCGAATGCCGCGTAACAATACAGTACTGTTGTGGCTCGTCCTGAGACACAATGATTGCCGAGAAAATCTTTTACCTCCTTTCGGCGGGAGGCCAGGCGTCAAGAAATCAAGAGTCCACTTGAGCTCCTTGTCGAGAAATCCACCCGATGCCCTCCTCCCCCTTTTTCTCCGTCCCCAACTACCGCTTATGTACTCCCCGCTGCTCGCTATAAACTACCACTACCCCCGATCGCAACCCCCGCACGTAGCCCGCCAGTCTTCTCTTGGCCCATTCCTGCGCCCAGCCCTCCGCTTGCGGTTCACGATCTCCTTGCCCGCCTTCCCTCTGGCCCGCTCCTGCGCCTGCGGTCCTCGGCTTGCGGTTCGCGCT